GGTACACTGCTGAAGTAAGTAACGGCGACTTTAGGTTCTCGTCGACAAAATGCGAGCAGCTGATGTGGACAAGGCTGGACCCGGTGACTTGATACTGAAATGGGGTAAAAAAACACAAGTAGGCTTGGAAAACGAACAATCGAATTCAGACGAGTACGTTCCTCCTTCCGTGGCACTTTGTATTTTTCCTTTGCTCATTTATATTTTTATTTTTGGATGCAAGTTTTTTTTTCTGAAGTGTTCATGAGCACCTTTTAGGCTGTTCGTCTACGTCAACGAGACCCTCTTTGAACGACCAGTTTATGCTACTTTAATTGAAGTGTACAAAAGGAAACTCTTCACACCAGAAGTCAGTAATTGTGCTGCTTCACTTCAAAACTGTCTCTCTTCCGCCTCATGCAGGAATATCCTTTTGATTGATCCTCTCAGAATTTCCATTTAGGTGTGCGGTAAAGAAGCAGAGATGAACGGGTTCAGGAAGGCTCAACTGCAGCAGGTCTTCGATACCTGGACGTCTACAGAAGTCTTCAAACTGGCAGCTGATTATTTGCGAGAGAAGGGTGAGGAGGTCGCATTTACTACAGTTGAAATATTATACATATATTATGTAGTTTAGAGTTCAAATACGCTTCCGACGTGAAAACTTTGAAGGAATACCTCTGGAACTTATGGTTCGGCACCTATACACGCTGCAGAGGTCCAAGTGGAAGTTCAGGTAGAACACCGTACACTTTTTGAAATCCAGGGGCATCACGAAATCGAAATTTGAATCTCATTGCAAAGACAAACCCTCGCCAACACTCACCTGTCATAAATGGCAAGTAAACTAACGAGGCCTACTCCAGAGTTAACACGGACCCAGTCAGTCTTCTGATTTTCGACTTCCGTGAATCCATTTCGATATATCTTCGATTATCTCATTTAATTTCCGACTGCCAAATATATCGAATAGTCGGAAATCGAATGAGTGACCTAATAAGTAGTTCTAGTCTTCCTTCTTGTGTTGTACATTAGGTAGTAGCTGCACCATCTCACTTTTTCGATGATTCCGTCCGTGATTTTTATACAACCGCCTGTATACTGTCATACAAGTTCCGTCTATGCATTACTATACAAGTACAAGATGACTTCCTGATGTGTTTGGAACCAAATAACATCTCGTTCAGGTTGGGAGCATGTCTTCGTCGGAGAATGGAAGGGTAAGACAATTGATGGCCATCACGATTGGGTCGGATATTACCTGCTCCAGAAAGCCGACCGTGTTCATTACCGTGGATATTACACCTATGTAGATGTAAGCTTATTTCCTGTTCAGAGTAGATTAAACTGCCGCGAGAGGTGCTCTTGCAAAGTCCACAGTCTGATATCGTAAATCTGATCGCATCCATTCATAATTAACTGAACAGCCCAAATCCTCATGGTNAAAAATGAATAGAAATCAAATCTTCCAAAAGAATAACACATTGGATTGTATAAGAACTCGCAGATGATTGCACAAGTAAAATATGCTTTCAGACAATTTAAAATTCTAAGTATTAGACAACGGGATGGCGCACCCCTATGGAGAAGGTCATTGGCCTTTCTTTGAAAGGCTAGAGTTATTGCAAAATTTTCTTTTCTGAGGTAGACTATAGTGATTGTTCCCGATTTGATTATCTTATACCACGTGTTACCTACTTGATTTACAGTAAACTATTGATAGTAAACACTGCGCCTTTCTGATTCAAGTTAGAAGTATTTTTTCTGTTGCAGAACCTCATCGGCACGGTTCAGTACACCTGGGATAACCACGTCAAGCCTAAGGGCGGCTTCCTCATTGGCACCTCACCAGGTTTGCATAAAGTAATTGATCAAAGGTTGGCCGTTTAGGAGTTGTCAGGGCGTGCACATCGACGGGAAGTTGCTCCTGTGGCGAAAGGTGAACAGGCGTGTAGCTGTTCATTATTTTACTTCCACCGCCTTGGTTGTTAGCGTCGTGGTGGTTTCTGAATGTGACGTCACAATTACTTTCACCACAGTAACATTTTCTCACAGTGTGGGCGGGATTCTCCGGTACGAATAGCACAAGGCAGCCAATCAGAGGCGGCCTATCCAGCCCTGGCCTCATCCTCATTGGCGGGCTTGTCTTCGTACAAGAGTAGTCCATCCGCGTCCACAGAGCAGACAATGTCTGTGCCTGATGGATCCACCATTTTCAGCGTTCGACTTCTCTCTGTTCTCCGTCTGTGCTATTCTGCATCCTGGAAGCAATGGCTGTAGGTACAAAATCGACGGGCATCCCCTCGGCGTCACATCGTTCAAACAATCGTGTTCGGCAGGAACCTGTCTTGCAACAGCTTATCCTACAGCATAAAGCAATTCACTGTACTAGAACTGTTCAGCTGAAAATTTATAAAAATGAGTTTCTCTCTATTAGATATTTCGTTTTAGGATTTACAAGAAATAAAAATTATTACAAGTGTATACAGCTCGGATGACAATGAACAAATTTTTTTTCTCAATGAACAAGGATGGGTTGATGTGGCGCTGAATAGTTGCACCTGTACGATTACTCTTTCTGAGAGTCAGATATAAAAAACTACCCAAGAAGAGAAACTTTTAGGAAAAGAGTTCGTATGCCATGTAATCTCATATTTAACAAGAGCCATCACCGACCTACCTTAGAACGTAGTAGTAGTAGCATGATGCATGGGTGTCACGGGGTTTCTCTTCCAATCGTACTGACTTAAATGTTGAGTAGGAGTGAAATTATAAAGTGAACTGTCGGATGGACCCACATGGACGGAGAGACGGCCATCTAAGGTCAGAGACGTACCATCTAAAGTCAAGGGCGATCGGGAACGCGGAAAGATCACCCACGACCTACTCAGGAGCGATGGTCTGAGGGAAGTAAACAACTGGTTTGCGCGGGTTTTTAGGGTATAAGTAGATGGGGCACCTCGTTTAGATATGTGGTTCCTTTCCTTTCCTTGGCGCAGCATCGGAGATTCCTCCCTAACGCGACGACACTAGCCCTCCCCACGGCACGCCTTGCCTCATCGTCAACTTTTCAGCAATTTCCATTTTTTCGAGTATCCCAGATCCCTTTTTCTTGGGATTGTTTTGTTTGTTAATGCCATAAATGTTTCCATAAAGTCGCATTTGCTCGCGCACAGTCATAAGAAGTATCCGTTGGATGGCTAGAATAAACCACAGAATACCACATTGTTAAGAATACCTGTTTATTAGCAAGTTGATTGACAATAAAATAAAGTGACTAAAGCTTTCATTTTCGTGAAAGGTTAACCTGGTGTGACCGAAAGTCCGAGTAGATAGGACGTGCTAGTTTTTGGAGGATGTAAAACCACATGACGTATCACTTGGTGAAACCGGTTCAAATTGTAAAACCAGTTTTCTTTCTAGAGAAATTACAGACATGTCAGTGAAATTTATTGGGTTTTAGGTTTGATTAAAGCTACTAAATTTGCTGATTTACTCCAAAGTACGATCTCTTCAGCGACAAATGCCTGTAAAAAACGGTGCAACACCCAAAAGCGTCTCGGTTGAGCGGATGAAGGTGGAAGGCTGACTTGTAAAAATGATTCTAGGAGGTAATGCGGTAGTCCAGAAGCAGCCCACGTGTCCCCGGCAATTACGCAAATGATGATAAGAGCGTCTCAGCTTTTTATCGCTAAAACAGCCATCCTTCCAGCTTCATTTACCAACCCAATCGCCTGATAGGAGCCACCTCTTTTTTTTAGATTTTTTGATGTCACTCATATAACTTTTTCGCCATGTCTGAATGCACCCATTTGTAGAGTTCTGTACTTTTAGGTAAAATCAACGATGACTCGAATTATTTGTCTGGCGTTGCTTGTTGCGGGTGTGTGCCAAGGTAAGCCATTTATTCATACAAACTTAAAAAATTACCCTTTTTTCTTTCGAAAGAAAACCAGTGGTCCACAAAGACTCAAGAAGTCGCTTCTTGGTGCAACGTCGGATGTTAACAAAGGTCATGGGTCAATAGAAGGTACAGGAACTCCCGGACTATTCCAAGTTAAAGAGAGCGGAATCTTTGAAGCCACGAGATCCACGAGCTTATTATCCGCCACGATATCTTTAGCTTGTCCGCAATAATTCCCTCTCCACCGAGCCTTGAAAGAACATGTTCGCTCTACCAGATGTCCTACCATTCCACGGCAAGCTTGGTCCTAAGTGGCCTCGAAGGGCCTATGAGATCTCACCACCGTATAAAGCCAAACTAGATTTCAGTCGGGGTGATAAGCATCTTCTACCAAGCCTTACGGAAGCGAAAATATCACTCAGAGCTTCCAATTTGATCGAGATTGCTTTCAATTGCACCGGCCTAACACCGGAATCAAAGCCACAAAGCTTGTTCGACTTTTCTTTGGTTTTACTGAAGTACTGTTCATGGTCCTTTTGCTAAGCGATAGTCGTCACCAAAACGTCACTGATAAACCTCTGACATGACTCGAACTCACACCTATCTTACCGGGCACCTTATTTGTGCATCATGGCAGTCATACCCCACTGGTTCTTCCCATGGTCTAACTAAAAAGCTTCGTTGTTCGTCGACAAGCTCTGCTTCACGTAAAACAAATAAAGTTGATTACATACATATATGAGTCAACGAGCCAACAGCATCACCATCTTACATTCGAAATTGATTTACTTTTCCCAACCCGAAAGTTCTATTAGGGACGTATGAGATCACATTCGCTCGATACCACAGCCTCTTCTTTCCCCATCATGTCACCTGTTCGATGTAGTCCTTCAACCCAACTCAGTCCGCCCTTAGAAAGCCCTTGTTCTTCTTCAAACATCACACATACATTCGTTTTGGGGCTTCCAAGTAATACTATTCTACCTAGAAAATGATTTGGCACTACAAAAGATCTGAAGTTGCAGCACGTAATCTTCGCACATTTGATCAGCAAGTCACAGATGCACTGAATGCTTTGGCTTCACTCGATGCCAGGCTTGATAAAGACACCGTATTCAATTATCAGGTATGTCGTAACAAAAAATGACTACTCAAGTCAATCACCTAATGCTTACATCAGTAGGCAATTGGTGATAGGATAGAACTGTCTAAAGAACACTACCATTCGAATACATTTCAAACTAGTGAGTAGTTGATTCCGAACGAAATGAGTCCTACATGAAACGCGCGCGACAGCTGCGAGGTGCTGACCAACGGCACACCAATCGATAGGGTAGGCTGAGCCCGCGCTGCATGGGCAGACTCAGCAAATTCTATCGATGAAAGGAATCACTATTAAGGGTTTGAACGTATCTAACTCTTCTCGGATCACCTAACTGTAAATTACATAGGACAACGCTTCTTAAACAATTGGTTTTTGACATTTTTTCAGAATATGGCATCTACCAAGGATTTCACCCACGACAATGCCAAGGAGAACCTGATCACTTCAGTTGACAGCACTTCAATCAGTGGAGCTACGTATAAAGCCTTCAACAATCTGATAGTAATGATTACATTACATTGTGGTAACCAGTGCGGGTATCGTGACACTGCGGCATCTCACGGGGCACTTCATTTGGGTTACGGCCGCTTCATTGAGAGCCCCATTAGATGAGTGAAAAAGATCCCCATCAAGCTGGAATTCCAATGATGAATGCGGTTTCTTTATATCCCTTATGCGCTTCTGACCCAAAGTCGTGGTTTCAATCTCCACCAGTACCCATTTACTTAGCAATCCTGCACTTAGCTGGGCGGAAGAAGGAAAATTCTCTCTTTGATTCATTTACCCATCCCAGATTTCCATTTCAGACGTTTTACCAACAACCAGACGTAGATATAGCGGAGGTGGTGTCGGCAGATTGGGAATCTGCAATCGACGCATTTCTGACCTCAGTAATGGGCACAGCGGTTATGCAAAGTGCTCAGCAGTTTCTCACCAAGCAAGGTTAGTGACAACTTAGTTTTCACAATTTCTTTGGCCTTCAAATGGTTTCCCTCAGGTGCCGTATCGGACGATGCATCGTTCAAGGCTTTGCTTCACTCTCTGTGGTTTACTCAGTATGCAAGAGACACTGCAGTAGGTAGCTCAGGTACGCTTACAGCTCATTTCGGAAGTTCGGGTTTGACTCTAGTTTTGTACCATACCTGTACCGTTAGCAGTAATCCGTCATGCTGCGTTAGCATACGGCGAGCCTAAAAATGTCATGATTGGTTAGTGAAGGAATATCGCCAATCACAGACGGTCTACATGATGTTAACTTGTTCTTAAATGCAGCGAGTATGCCAGACGCTTCACGTATAGATGACTGAGCTTGGTGGGCTCAGCACACCTATCATTGGCGGCTTGCTGAGCTGCACAGCATCTCAACTCAACCAATGGAGAGGTCGCCAGGGCGTTTGAAGCCCCGCCCCATTTCGTAGATCGCACAGCCTACCCATGCATGATTGGGAATGGGTGACTGCTGAGAAGTATGCTCTCACTAAGTAGTAGTTAGAATCTGAATTTTAGGATTTGAATCTGTTTTCTCTGGAGAGGTGAAAGGCAGCGATGTGATTCGTTTCAACAATTGGTTCCGCTATTATCAACAGGAAACTAATGGCGCAATCAACTATCATGGATGGTTTACAAAAGAAGCAGTCAGTTTTACATTATTTTCGTTTTTTAAAGATGAGAAAGCCTTGGTTTTCTTTCTTGAAAATGTGTAACGGTCGACAGAATGCGTTCTCGTGAGAAATTCCGAGCAGACTAGGCACAAATGCTGCCAAACTGAAACAAAAAAGAGACCCAGCAGGGATGCGTGCGGTCGCGCAGCGGTCTTCAAGCGGTGATCGATAGGCGTTGTTGCATCGGTTTCAAACTGATCATCGATCAGAATGCCACCATTTTGCGCGTTTCAGTCTTACTTCTGAATGACTACAAATTGCCACAGAAATATTTTAGGATTACTCGTAATGATTAGTTAAGCGTTCGACAATGAGTTAAAATCACTTTAAAGCTTATAAAAGGCACATGCAAAAACTATAATTCATTTTCATTAATGTCAGTCTTCCCTGTCACTGTAGTCATCCTGAGTAGTTGTTCTCTGAGCTGAGCAACGTCGGCGATAATGCCGTCCCCGACGATTTGGAGGTACCGGTGGACGTGCTTCTTGAAGCGGACTGGGCCTAAGTTTGTTACACCTTCACTCGTTTTGTAGACTGTAAACAGGTGTGAGCAAGCAAGTTTCAAGTCTGAGATGGGGACGAATTTACTTGTGTAGAAATGTGAATGTCGTAGAAAAACAGTTAGCATCTACAATTAGGTACCGAGCACCGGTAATTTTGAATATGGTGAACTCCCGCTTAATCGATAGCTATTCTTTAATTCTGATCACCACATCCTACCATTATCACGAAGAAAGAAGGAGACTTCACGATGTAGCTCGGTTAGTAAGTCCTAGAAAGGTCGTGCTGTGCGCATCTGGGTGGCCCACTTTACTCAAGGTCTATGGGGATCTTGGGACCATTTTCAATTTACTGAATACTTACTCGAGTTTTGAGGCGAGATCTGCGACAAGATCATTGATCCGCTTCATAGTAGTTTCCATGTCAGTCATTTTCGACTCACACAAGTCCAGCCGACGACTTATACAGAGCTTCTCAGCAGGGACCCCACTGAGCGACGATATGCCCGGCTTTCCTAACATGGCGTTTACCCTCAATTCGAGCTGAAATAGTAAAGGGTTAAATTTATGTCTGTAATTGATTTGTAAATGGGCAGCCCAACATATCACAGGACGCATGCCATGTGCTGTACTCTCGATGCTCCCCATGGTTAGGCTCCGCCTCTTTTGCTGCCTCTTTAGTTTGTTTATCAGCGCTGTATCACCGTGATAACCCCATGAACGTTTACTGAAACCCGCTTGTTGTAGGTTTAACTACATTCGCAGATGCCCACCCCTTCCATCGTCTCTTCACATACCTTGGCAGACCTGGTCATGTTTTTTTCTAAGTGTGATCATCCAAATGGCATAAAACAAAAATTACAATAGATGATGAACTAAAAAAGGGAAAACAGCCCAGATGGGAAACGGTAACAAAGCGGTGCTCTCACCTCCCTGAGGTTCTGATTCCGTACGTTCTCTTGTTCGCGAATTTCCGCATCAAATTCGAGTAAACGATCGGATTTGCGTAACCGACGAAACTTTTTCGCATACTGTCGAAAAAGTAAGAAGTTAAAGAATCGCAAAAGTGGTCTGAACTTGTGTAGTTTCCACTCTTCCACCTCTGAAACGCCTGAAAATATTTTCTGCTTCCTCTTTTTACTCACGCTATACACACCTGAAATGTCTACAGAATCAGATCGATCATCGTCATACATATTGGTCGTATCGATTTGCGTTTCGATATCGGAAATATCGAACGATGACGACAATGTCGTGTCAATTGATCCACGCTCAAACAAGCTCGATGTCTGAATTCGTAATTGTTTGGAATCCAGGCTAAATTAATTATAGAAATGACTAAAAGCCTTGGGTGTGGTGCAGTAGGAACGAAATTGTCGCGTTACGGCAAGAGACACACTGGGCGCGAAGGAATATAGCAGAATGCAGCAGGAAGTAAGAAATTCAGGAACAAGAGAACTATCAGTAGAATCATGTCATCAGTAATAATCGCATAGCGATTGAGTTGTATGAAGAACGCTAGAACTTTTATAACGAGGCAAATGGTCCGCGGCAGCCGCGTGCGGCGGATCGATTGCACAAAACCGTTCCTACTGCCCGTCTCCCAAAGTCTCTGGATTATGCAATATGGTGTATCTGAATTGCCTCTATCAACCTAGAACGAATCCCTTCATGGAATTTGCAGCACTTACTAGCATTTACTAACACCACAAAGGGAGTTTGGGCTTTTTCATGACCCAACTTTCAAGAAAGTAGCGATTGATGGGATTAGTGGTTGCTGAATACTTTCTAGTAACAGAAAAGGTAAACAGGTTCCCAAAAAACTACAAAACTAGCATCTCCTGCAGGTGTTTGTTTTTTGAATCAGTGTAGGCCCCTTAGCTGTAGACGGTCCAAGCACATTTTCCCACCAGTCAATACTCTATCACTGCATATGAAACTTTATGAACTCACATCTGCTTCACTGGCTCTGCCATTATTATTTTGAGTTTCCGGAAGACTCTAAAAGTTATTAATTACTCATACTAAAAAGCTACGGAAGACATAAACGTTACCATTATCCTTTTCAAAGGCGCTGGTTTGCGATTCCGTTGCACCTGAAGGAATTTTTTTTGCTCACAAAATTTTTAGTGTTCTTCATGTCTACATACACATTTCTTAACTACTGAGGTACGGGGGGGGGGGNACTCGATGTGGGTGGCCACCCCGCCCCTTCTTAGAGAAATGAACCACTTCCAAAAAGGTAGCCCACGTTCAATGGAATCCAATCAGTTTGAAACAGCAAGTGTAGCAGCGTCAAACTCACGTCGAGGCTGAATGTCTGGATCATTTGTTGAGCCACGCCCATACTTAGTTGCTGTTTCCAAGATTGCTCAATGGCAGCGACCGCATGGCGCAACCTCTTCTTCCTACAAAGCTCCGATTTGTGAAGTAGTCATCATTCAATTTATTGCAGACCTTTCAAGTTTCTCACGAAGCTTGTTCTCCATCTGCGCATTCCGATTCATTCGTTTAGCTGTGAGGTATAATTTGAAGCAAATACGGCTGAAAAGATTATCTGAGACAGTAGCTACATTAAGAATCCTGAAGCAGACCTTTTAATGCCATTAAATTCATCACTAGCAAAAGCAAAAGCAAGCATCACTATTTATTAATTGAAGACAGATGTTGATCTAGTTTAAGTGAATTAAATATAGCCCAACCACACCCTTCATTGGTGGGCTACCTTCTGCTTCTACCCCAACTCAACATTGATCTTTGAAACTACTTAAAGTTCCTACTACCCTCTTTCTCATCTCTTTCAATAATTGAATATGGGCATCACTTCACTTGTTTCACCCTCCTACCACCTTTCCAACCACCACCACCACCACCCACGTCCTTTACTTGTCCATGCTTTACCCAACATTATTGAGAGCACCTATTCCTTAATTCACGACGTTTAACTTTTCCATGTCGTAGCCAGAACTAACCTACTACTACCTTCTACTGAGTAACACCCGGTCTTAAAAATAACGCTATTTCCTTGAAAACTACAGCGAAAAAAATGCAAAGAATGCTCAAATTTGTTAATTACCGGAAATACTCTGTGAGTCTTCGGTTTTGTGAACTCGCTAGATGAAATCGGTACCTAAAAATAAGATATTCTTCACATCGATTATCGATCGATCACTTGACAATTCTCACCAAAATTGAATCACAGATGCAGAAGTGTTTCGGAGTTTGTTTTTGCATTCTTTCTTACTGTTTTCCTCCATCATGAGGGTCAAGCCTAAAATTACGCTTTTATGTCGTTGTAGGAGGAGAAAGTGTAAATACTACTAAAGCCATAGGCTTCAGTTTGGAGCCATAACTACATCAGCTCAAGTGAATTCATACAAAGCTGCAGATCTGTTCGCGATCCGGGTCGGAGCCTACTAAAGGATACCTTCTCTGATAAGAGGCATTCCGCCATGAAAATGTGGGCGGAGCGTTCCTCGAAGGTCATTTGTCAGTGGGCGGGTTTCCGCATTGACGTCCACTATGCCCGATCCCGTGATCACAAAATGTAACGAACCTACGGATATTTGTGTTGAAGCCGCAACAAAAGTACAATACGCTAGAAAACCCAAGAAGCACACAACTATTTTTGATGACCACTGCTGAGGAACAATATCGCCGTATCTGAAACGTGACATCTTTGTTCGAAAGCTGTTCACGATGGTTTGGGGGATCCTTTATATGAATATTTTTAATATTGAAGTAATACTCGGTATTCTGCAATGTACAGGTCTTACCCTATTGTTGGTACCGTCACGATTGTAAACCACCACGTATGAGCGAGCGTTAGGAACTCATTAGATTCTAAATATAATCCGTTAATCGAAAGCTTCCATCCTGTTTTATAGCTTTTCGTTGATTTATACATGATGCATGTAATATGCCAGGCGCGTCCGCTACTGGCAGGTTCCCGCTGTAACCAATCGCGAGCTCCTATCGCATGTATTACACTCACCAAACAGCCAGTCATCTCTATTGAAAGACTCAAGCCTATTCAGCTTCAATCCTATCTCTTCTTCAGCTTAACCAACTCACTAGTAAGAGCTTACTTGGAATTTCCGAAGTGTTCTTTGGAAGAAAAAGCATAAACCCTTCATTCTCCGTGATGTATATAATATTAACCATGAGTAAGCATAAAATGAAGGTTATATAATAGGCAGCTAGCAGTTCCCACCTGAAAATCCCTTTTGATTCATTTAATACATTTGATATTTCACTATCAGATAGGGTAACTAAAATCAGTAATATTCTCATATTTTTTGGAAACATTCCTCATAGCTAATCGTGTGAGTAACGTAGGTTAATGATGCGTGCGGTCGCGGCACGTCATTTTCGTTGGATCAATGCGCACTAGAAACCACTACGTATCAGCTGTTGTAATCGTGTAGCGCGGTCTCTATGCACTCGCCCTTTTGTGCTCTGGGTGTCAGAAACCTAGAGCACCAAAGGGCACTGGCACCCCCCAGATCAAATACATTTTCAACCATGGTCTCCTTTTGCTTTGAAACATGTATAACGTTTGTGCTCTTATCGTACGCCCGCGGAAACCCGTCGAGTTGGCAAAAGTCCAACTGGCAGTGGCACTTTCAATAATCGATTGAATCATCGCTATGATTAAGAATGTGACTCAATATAGAGTGGTACCAAACCCGCTTCATCAAAATGACTGGTACATAGGACGCGAAGGCGGTCAGAAGCGTGCACAATACTCAAAAGTGAAAGAGAGTCCGCCAGTGATGGTAGGGCGTGGTCCGCCGTAATGGGCGGAGCCCGATGTCGGCGCAGGACTACAACAATGGGCATAGCCGATCATAATTAGTCAATGAAGCCATTCAGCTTATGACGCAATGGACTATTGTCAAACCTGTGCCAAATGCATAGTTGAAAGTCAACTGGTCCAAATACAATAGTTACTCGTTCGGCGGCAATCGTCATCTCTTTTCNTGTCGGCGCAGGACTACAACAATGGGCATAGCCGATCATAATTAGTCAATGAAGCTATTCAGCTTATGACGCAATGGACTAATGTCAAACCTGTGCCAAATGCATAGTTGAAAGTCAACTGGTCCAAATACAATAGTTACTCGTTCGGCGGCAATCGTCATCTCTTTTCTTCCCTTACATCTCACCATCCGTAGATTGTATTCAAATGAACACAAGAGGCACAAACCGTACTTGCTAAGCATGACCATATTCTTGATGAGATGCCATGTCATCATTTGTCTGTCTATGTGGAATAGTCGAAGTATCTGCAGCAACAATTAATTTTATCAAACTGGAAAGTCCTGTTCGCTATCGCACTATACATGCAATGAGCAGCACAAAGCTGCGCCGCGCGCGCTTGCGACGCGGATCGGTTCGGTGGAAGAATTTTCACCAATCGATTTAGGCTTTCTAGGGATTCTACTCCGTTCAAATCTGCGCGAGTGAAATAGCAATCAAATAATTGATATGACCCAGGTTTTTCTTCTTCATAGTGCGTGCAGCTGCTTCAAAACAGAATCATATTATTCATTACCTGAATCAGCCGCAGGTAGTCGAGCGTCGAATCAGCTATAAAAGCTTTCTCCATGTACACCATCAGTGAAGTGACTATTATAATGATAATGTCCACCAGTGAGACCAGACGTATGAGGTAACGTAGCCGTCCTGGAAGAAATCAATAAAAGCTGGACAATAGTGGAATAGCATTTCGGACGGTCTAAAAAAAAATCTATGTCTGCGCTGCATGTGATCGCGTCGCATCAACAATAAGTATGTATACTCAAGAGGCGAGCGGTGGGACTGGAGTGCAACAATTTCTTGACACTTTTGAGCTGCTCACAACTTCATCATGATTCTACGAGAAAGTGGGACTGCGGTGAAGTCGTTCTTTACTTTTACCATAGAAAATAAAATGAAAGTGAAAAATGAAAATGAATGTTAGAGTGGATCTTGCCGTTCTTGATACCTTCTGTTCATCGGTAGTTCGTGGGAGAGCCCCATTTTTGCAACACATCTGGTTTTGGAGGTCCTTCAGCAGGGAGGTGACCAGATTCCTCTGGTCAGAGCAGTACGTGGTGCTCTGCAGGAGATGAAGAAGATCCATTTGGTCACTTAAACGCATCGACGGCTCACAGTGGAGTCAGTGGCGGGCTTTTGCGATCTCCAATAGTTTCTGCTTCGAAGATAGATCAAACCTCTCAGCGTTTAGCGAGAAAGTTCGGAATAATTTCAGCACTTTCGAACCACATCCCGTCATCGAAGATTTAAAAAGCAAGTCCTCCTTATTTAACCGCGCGCTAATGGTTTTCACCTCAAGGAGACGCGACGCGACCGCTTGCGCCACAGATGCACAATCTTTCTCAAGACACGGAATTATCATTTGCCTCTTATATCTGATATAATTTACCTTTCATCCCACAGTATTTTGCATCCGCTGAGATACACCACATACGAACACAGAACTCGCAAACAAAAAACACTGCTAGTACCACCTCCATATAGACATGCACTTCTAAAAAAGAGTTCTAAGAAATCGGGGAACGATGAGACTCCTAGAACCTGACCCTTCAGGTATGGATCCTCCCATGAACTAGTGGCACCAAGAATCACTGCCATGAGTACGAAAGCGAAGACTCCTGAAAATAGCTAAAAGGTTCTGTAGAGAGTAGAGCGGATTGAGTATACTTGCCACCTCCAGTGCAGCTTAAGGAAAATGGCCCTCAGAATGACCTTTTCCAGAGTTAAGCGGAGAGGAACATTCTTTCTCAGTGACGACCGCTTTAATTCCTTTTTATTTTCAGAGAAAAAGGTTACTTTTTGGATCTGGCGTTCTGTTATCTGCGATGTGACCACTACGTAAGATCCCCCTCCCTTTCCCGAACCCGCATGAGTATCGATCGCTCAGCACGATTTTATCGGCACGAGTATCGACCGTTCAGCACGGTTTCAGAATGATGCAAAAACAATGTCATCTTCCGAACGCGCTCTCTATTCAGCTAAACTATTGGCACGCTTACAAAGTTGCATTAAGGACTGCTATAGATAAGGTAAGGTCCAATGCGGGAGTGTGAATGACTCGGCCATCAAAAGGAAATAAAAGCTCCAGCGATAGGCCCAACACCATCGAACACAGTATACACACAATGCACAGAAGAACACACCAAAATGATACCATGTACTATTTGCACTCATTGGATGGTCAAGGAAGTAATAGATACGGAAACGGAGACGGCGAACATTGCGAACTCGACTGCTCAACTATAAATGAGTAGGATTTCTGGAAGTTTCTTGAAATATGACATCTGGTTTTACCTGTAACGTGTCGCGTCTGTTAGTAGGTCTTCTTTTACGTTCATATTTCTCGTCCGAAAACGACATTGTCATTTTTGCGAAATCCACTGAAAAAGATTGTTTTTGTTTTCTTGGGATTTTGGCTGGAATAGCTGCTAAGCTGTACAGTCTGAAGTTCACAGAAGGCAGACAGTTAAAATCCGCCATTTAAATATGTTGCTATGCTTCATTCACGCAACATGTCGACCGCTCCGCGACAGCGCGCGTAATAGACACGTAATGCTGCCATTCTCGAAGCAGTGAATGTGAATGTTATTGAGCCAGCCTTGGTCTATAAAACAGCTCTGTGATGGAACTTAGTCAGGACCGCTCCAAAAGGTTAGGGGCTTAATGGGGCATACCCTAACAGTGCGTAACGAAATGCGCTACCGTACCGGAATTCTAGGAATTCTATAGCTGATACGAGCATTTTTGTGTTTCGATACCTCTATACAGGTAATGTTCAGCACAACACAGGAATGGGTTCGACCCAGCCCGAATGATTTTTCTTTTCATTAACTTTAAAGAACTGACTGTTAGAAGGAGGAGTGGACAGTGAAAGGCGACGTGAATTTGATGAATGACGAAGATCAATGATGATTTGTAAGCGTTATCAATTTTTCTCGGGAGGAATGTTCCCGATAAGCGTTCAACGTAGTCGGAGCGGCCGCCTGGACCGTCATGGTTCATGCGGAACAAAGCGGCTAAAACGAGAAACACTCTGGGCCATAACGATCAAGCATCTTCGACGGATAGTAAAAGAATCAATGCGATCGATGGCCAATCAGACTGATCAACGGCTACTTTAAGATCTTTGCTGAATCATTAATGAGAGACGTTATTGTGAGCGTGTGCGAGCGATGTTTAGCCGTCGCGAAGAGACGACGACGATGAGCCAACGATGCTTTTCTGAAGACATTTAAATCGATACTGATCCTATCATAGATGTATAAAAATGTTTCACAAATATCAACGCCACTACAACAGAGCTCTGTTACTAGTTAGAGCGTGGGGAAGTAACACTACTTACCAAGTCTTACTATCTTGGTATGGCCATCAGATCAGTTAATGCTTACCGAATAATATTTGTGTAACCCCTTTTTGACTCGTCGACACACATATGGAATGTAAACATCAAAAGAAAACAAAAATATTCCAGTGTTCAAAAGAGCTCTCAAATGAAATGAAGGGAATCACGAGGTTACGGTATCCAGTTCATTTCCTCCTATTTTTTAGTAGACATTTATGCCATCTAACTACCCAAGTGGGCCACTTGTAAACAATAAATATATCAAAATTTTGTATATATGTATCGATTGCCTCCTTGAACATAATAAACGACTTCCAATCAAATCCCACAGGGATTCTAAATGAAAGTCAAATGCGTGGCGCGTTCTTGACAGTGAACGAGGCTAAGGCCAAGCGCTTTTATTCTCTACATGAAATACTCAATTTCAGGGTGTCCTACTTTCATTGCAATTCGCATGGAATGACTGGAAGGCTATGCAGACCTCCATGTTGCTCAATACATCGCCTGAGTTCGAGATGGCCGTCTACACAATCTGTGCACTCAATGGAGGACAGGTATGTGTAATTGCTGGACGTGTTGTAAGCCACTGTTAGTACACCCCATCTAACATTACATGAGGATTTTCTTTTTTATCAAAGCCCACTCCTACTCCACTAAGCTGTTACGGTTTCCAACTTCCGCAATTGAAAGAGATTCAACTG